ACGCTGAAACGTCAGTAAGTCATCTCACCTAGTTTGTACGGTGTCAAATTTATCTTTACAGGAGTGAGGGCCTCCCCAATCCCTTTAGGGCCGCTACAAGGGCTAAACTGCGTCAAATAAGAAGACATTCAACTCAAAAACGTGCTCCAAAYTAAATAAGCGTTCACCAGATGCACGAAATAAGGAGGTGAAATTATTGAAAATTTCGTAATATTCAGGAATTAACATAAAAATGTTTTAAGTAAGTTAAAATAGAGATCACCAAAGGTGTCAAGTGAGCACCATAAAATGTGGCCAATTTTTGTGGTCAATTTCCATTCTCTGATCATGTTAATATCGGGGACATCCGTGCAATTTTTTCTTTGCTCATAATATACATTGTATTTGGAACGGACGAGCTGAACCACAWATTATCCCTACATATATACAAGGCAGTCTTCAATTGTCACAGATTAAAATTTGTTCGAAAAGAGAACCGCTTCTTAATATCCATATTAAAGCCTTCATAAAGTTACAGCCTTTTGCAAAAATTATGAGAATTGTTGAAATATCTAAATATCATAATATCGAGTGCATGATGGGTAATCCCGCGCGATGCCCTTAGTCCCTTGTCTTTGTAGTTTAGTGTTTTTTGGCGACATACTTATCCGTAGTTCTGAACATTTTCTCGATGTCAACAATGAATTATTCTAGCAAACCCGCGTGTTGCGGACAATATATGGATATGGATATTATGATATTTAGATATTTAGACAATTCTCATAATTTTTGCAAAAGGCTGTATACAAAATACAAACGGAGTAGCGTAATATGGTAGTAAAGCCTAATGCGAAGACATCATATAAACGAGCAAACAGAAATATTTTAAGATACTTTTATAAACTCACTCACCAGCTCAAGATGACTTAAAAAAAAAACTGAAACTCCATTGCAGTGGCTGTAAATATCTGCTCCTGTTGTCGGAATACATGAACAACCTGCTCAGCTCCTTGGTCACAATACTGTCCTGAGTGATTCCCTATATCACACAGGTATTTATACAATGAAATATGATAACGGAATTGTAAATTATTATCGATGAATACTGTCATATTCTGGGAGGTTTTAATTAAAATTTGTTGTTAAAATTCAATGCTATATCAAAAAGCTATTAAACATCAAAGTGTTTACACAAAATAATGCCGTGTGTCACGATTAGAGAAAAACAAATTTCCGTCCTTATTTTATGTGTATAAATTTGATGTACACGTACCACTTGCAAGATTCAGTGTTGTCAAATCGAAATGAGAAGTGAACATCGAAAAGACGACATTTGTAGATAGGAATTTATTAGTGCACGCCAAAAAAGCATGAAACAATTCTTAAATATCAACATCTAATAAGCTTTAGTTATCAACTAAGAATTCACTGGGGCATGAACACAATGCCAGAAAGGAAACTTGTGTTTGTTTTGGCCTCACTAAATTCTTAGTTAGTTGATAACTAAATCTTATTAGGCGCGAATTGTTTCATGCTTATGTGGCGTGCACTCTAATTTAAAAATTACAAAGAGACCTGTCTGATCAACCTGATATAAGTTTCTTAGTCGGACATTTGAATTGTAATATATAAGCTTTCAATTACTAAATACCGATTTGAAAGAAACTTAATGGAAAAATGTTAATCTTACTATATATACGAAKAGTCTGAAGCGTTTAATTTTTTTACCCATAAAAATGAAACTTTTATCGGAAAAGCCTCGTTTAACAAAAATTACCTATGCTGAACTTCTTTAAGATATTTTTTCAWAAGTGACAGCCGGCACGTGTAACAAATTGCTTTGAACGATATAAGAGCTAGGTTGCGTTTTCCTTACTTTGTATGATAAACATAAGACACAAAGGCGAGACCGAAAATCATTATGGAAGGAAGTTTTAAACACAGTTGTTGCCATGGACAACGTTGATTGTATAATCGGGAACAAGGAAGTGCTCTAACAGCGTCTGGAATATTCCAGACCTGAAATCGAGCCTAATAGAGCACTTTGAGTATGGACATGATTAGCCTCCTCCGCAGGCAACCCTTGTATCTTCCTCTTTGGTCTTCCTTTGTTATCCTGAGGAGAGGGGACTGGGTCTCCGGCCCCCTCAAAAAGCCTTTTTTCGCCACAGGAAGCCCAAAAAGCCAAAAGCGAGTAGAGTTGCCTGCGGAGGAGGCTAGGACCTGATGATGATAAAGCTTTTACCAGACACACAGTAACACACAATCTGAAATACACCACATAAGCTARAAAATAAACCACAGTATCAATAGCAAGCGTGACAGTTCCTATTTCTCTGATGGACTGCATGACCAAAAACACTATACATTCTCGTTGTTTGTCGCGCCATTTTGGTGAAAGTTCTATTAAATTCAATGAGTTTTTAATTGTGTGATATGAATTTAATTTAAAAGTTTGAATATCATATGATACAGGAATTGCTGTATTAAGAATGATTCATAAGATATTATACAAATAATATTATAAATAATAAATTAAAATATAAAATATGTTAAAAACTTCCATGCATTTTAGAGTCGTTCCCACGAAACGAAGTTTTGTGGTCGAAGTGAACAAAATTGTGGTACATCAAAAAGACAAAGAGAAACGTGCACTTGAAGATCAATACAGTGTAGCACGCCAAAGTGTATTTCACGGGTTTAGAGTGGTTTTCATTAGTGGCGTGAAACATACTTTAGCGTACTACACTTTATTGCTCTTTATTTTGCACGAATTTGTTTCGTTTTTTCCGGTATATTACACTGTATTGCGGTTTGACTAAATTGTGGGGAAATTGTACTTTGCTTCCCGGATCAATTAAAAAACCACAATATGAAGATTTCTCTACAGCAATTGAGTGAAAATATCTGTTTTTAATCTCCCCAGATGTCAGCTTTTCTTTGCTTCTCTTGTCTTTTTTGTTCTGAACAAAAAATCAACAAAASTACACTTCAGAATAAAGTGAAACGTTTCAGTACACACAGCTCTATTTTARTTATTAACTTCAGGCACTTCTACTGATACATCAGTCCCCGGCAATTGAAACCTGACTTTTTCCAGTGGTRGCAGGAACTGTCACTTTACAACCGGGAATTTAACACGGATCAATCCACTGAGGGGTGAGGAAGTTAATGTCTGCATCAAAGCAATTAATGATTTATTTATCTGTGCAGTTTCTTGGAGAGGAAAACCCGGGATTTCTAACACTGTTGAAATGTTATTACGCCCAGTTTTGCTTGGAGATTGAAAAACAAAGTTTTCAATTGTAGACTGARGAAGAACTTAGTATACTGATGATGACAAGCAAAGGATTCTAAAAAAAAAGACTTTTACTGTAAAAACTGATATTTTTATGTGCATACCTCTGGCTTCTTTCAGTTTGTCTTTCTCTTTTTGTTTCTCCTCTTTGGTCATGCGGGATTTTACACCCAAGGCACCGGTTACTAACATGTGAGCTGTTAATTTGGTTGTTTGAGGACGTGGCTTGTAAGGTTGAAGAAATTCTGAATAAAACAAAATCATTTTGTATTTAGAACAATATTCTTTTTATGAATGTAATCATTGGTGTTTTTATTATTAATTTGCTTTCCAAAAACCTGAAGTTGGTACTAATCATCAGGGTGGACCTTATGGTCGAAGGGGGTACACTTCCTCTCTTTCGCCCCTAATAATTTTCTCTAATTTGTTCCTCCTTTGTGACCAATGAGCGCTCCCCAGTGTGTGCCGTTCAGCCCTCCCCAAACGAAATCCTGTATCTGCTCCTTCCTTTTATTAAATGTAATTTTGCATCAAGGTGTAATCCCATCACTGGTTTGTCAACAGTGTTTGTCAGTGTATTTCTCACCAAAGCAGCGCTTTGCTTTCTTCTTGGAGTCTGCAATTCCTTGACTGACAGGACGTAACTTGAGCAAAGGGCTYCTGCACATCTGAATGGCTTGATTAGCTTGATAAAACAAAAACAAAATAATGACATGTAACTTGAATTGCCTCAAATACTTTGGGAAGATTGCAATTCACATCAAGATTTATAAGACACTCAGATTTGTTCATCCTTAAGAATCCAGGAGTAATCTTCTGCACTGGACTCTTGCACTCACATAAAAACAGTAAGATTATGCCTGGATTCCCAGGGATGAGTTTCTCTCAGCCTGTGGTATTCTTTACATTACCATATTTCACCAATTTGTTATCTAACGCCCGTTTCAGACGTCGATCTTTTGCCGCGTCTAATCTAATTGCTGGAGATGAGTTTATGAACACTGCGTACTCTGAATTCATTGACATTGGCAGATTTTGTTCAGTTGGACGAGCTTATAATAATCCGTAAATATCAAACTTCTCGTGAACTACATGCAAGCAATTAGATTAGATGCGGCAAAATATCGACGTCTGAAACGGGCCTAAATTAGAGAAGTAATGAACACAGCAAGATTTTTTTTGACCTTTTACTTAAAGTGCTTAGAAAAAGCTATATAAGCCCTATATAAGCTTAAATGATTGATGATGATTATTATTATTGATTTCTTCAAAAATATCAATGTACACTTACCGGCAAGAGGGCTGGCAAATGCTGCCAAAGCATGAGTATCATCCACCCATTTGAGCTCATATCCTTGATCCCTAAAACCCAAATGACCTCGGTAATGATCTCAACTAACTACGGAGATATAAATCAACTTAGGCTACAAAATATATAGGTTTTTATGTTGTGGGGGAACATTGGTGAATACATAAGAAAGTTACTGTGGGCATGATTCAAGGGGAGTTCTTTCTGACATGAATGAGATTTATATTTTAGGAAACATTGATTTGAACCTACTTGAATYCACTAAGAGCCTTGGTCAAATCTTGGGTTTTKAGGTCAGCTGAGAAGTCATAGATCTCAACAATATGGCCATAACCTATGTATGATGACAGTAATAGATAATAAAAAATGTAAAACATGAAGCTTTGTGAAAATAAGAAGTAATGACTTATGGTTGGAGACATTTGAACAACATTAATCAAAAACAAGGTGAATAAGGATGGGGTGCCTGAGTAGGATGTAAAACCATGAGGAGAAGAAGGATGGGGTGCCTGAGTAAAATGTAAAACCATGAAAAGAAGAAGGATGGGGTGCCTGAGTAAAATGTAAAACCATGAAAAGAAGAAGGATGGGGTGCCTGATAAGGAAGTAAAGCAAAAAGAAATTGCATTTGATAGGCCCAAGGCATAGGAATTGTGCCTCCCCTCATCCCCRAAAAGGACGTAAGAGAAAAGAACAAGAATCTGATATACCGTCATCCAGTTCCATATCCTTTTCTGCCAGTGAGTAGAAGTCAAACTGAGTTTTGTGTTTGACGGGTTTCTTGATACCAGTTGCTTTGGACAGCTGTGATTTAAGAAGAAGTGAAAGCAAAAATGAATGAATGAATGAATGAATGGGGAAATGAATGAATAATAATCATTTAATAAAAGAAAGAGCAGATTTGATGAATGAATTTGTAATATACCATTTTGATCAACTCAGGATCTAAGCACTCCCCATCATCATTGAATTTATTAAGCCAGCTATCGCTGTCATCATCATCATCATCATCAACAGAATCATCCTCTCCTGTTTGTTTCCCATCTTGATCCAAAGCCTCCTCCTTGACACCCTCTTGTTTTCCTTTGACTTGTGTCTTCGATATGCACTTTGCTTTTTTATCATTTAAACCAGATTCCTCATCCTTTGAGCTTTCACAGTGCTCCTTTTTATTCTTCTTTTTCTTCTTCACTTCTTTAGATTCTAAGTGATCAGATTTTTTACTTTTCTTCTTTTTCTTTACTTTTTCAAGTTTGGAGGGTTGTTCTTCTTTATTTTCAGATACCATTGAATCACTTTTCTCTGTACACTTTTCCTTTATTTCATCCTCTATATAAGTTATTTTGGCTTTTCTTTCCGTGGATACATCATTGTTTTGATTATGGTRATCAACTGTCTCTTCTAATGCTTCTAATATTTCACTACATGAAGTATTGTCAATCTCATTTGTGCTGACAATTTCTTTTTTCTCTTCACTACAAAGATGAGTCCTTTGTTCTAAAGCATTTTCATTTTTCAAGTCTCCATCAGCTAGACTTTGTGAATTTGATGTTTTTTCAAAATTACATTGCTGTTTATCTTCCCTCACATTTTCTTTTGTTTGAACCCTTTTAGGTTCAGTGTCATCAATGTCTTTAGTACTTTTATCAGTATTATCATTGCTTGTTTGTTCACTTTGAATTTCTGTCCTTTCACTATTAAAAATCCCTTTTTTAGTAATGTCATTGCTTARTGGTTCACAGATAGACACACAACCTCCTTGTTGTATCTCCTCTTTTCTTAAGGAACTACTATGTAAATTGTCAGCTTGTACTTCATCATATTCTTTTATATTTTCACTATCTTTATTAACTTGCATAGTATCTTCAATGTTGATACACTTTTCATGAATTTCTTTGCTTGTAACCAAATCTTTTTCGTGCTGGTTTTTCACGTTATCTTTCAACTTTTCCAAGCTCTCATTGCTTGTTTTGTTATTATGTAAGGACAAAATGACACTACTTTCTTTTAAGTCATTAATTGTAGTTCTTTCTGCACGGTTATCTAATCCTGTGTTCTCTCTTGTTGTTATTGCTGAGATATCAACAGTTTTTCTATGTTCACTGGMATTTTCAGWCTGAGTACATYTAGARTTTGACAAAACCAATCCTTGTGRYTTTGACACTTCACAACTTAAAGTTTGAGCAGGACAATTAGCATCAGTTTTTGATGAACATTCTGTATTTTTCTCCAGTTTGTTAGTATTGCAAACATTTATCTCTGTAGATTTAAATTCCCTTTGTGTTACTAAAGTTGGTATCTGTATTGTTTGATCTGCCAATCTTTCACCTTTGTTTTCAGCACTTTGTTCTTGGTCATCACATTGTGCAGCACAAGYTAGAATCTCTACACTATTCCTATTCAATTCAAATGATTTACTATCTGAGTGTCCAGATGCTAATTCAGAGCTCAGAGAGTGATCTGCCATATTTTCCTTTTTATTTTCAGAATTTTCATCAATTMMTYTGCAATTTGATGAGTTAGATGAAGTCTCTGATAATTTRCCCACATTTTTGATACAATCTTCATKATTTTGTTTTCTTGTTTCTTGTAATGCCTCTGTGGTACCTCTTGATRGTTCTCTTATATTTTCCTCTGTATTYTCAGTATTTTGCTCTTGTTTTTTCCGATGTAAAGCACCAGGAACATAAAACTGTTGATCTGGTCTTTTTTGGTTCCTCCAACCTCTTCCTCTAGATGTTTTAGTAGGTATTCTGGCATTTTTATCCATTTTTCCTTTATTTCTTGTATAACAAGAGTGTTCTTTCAGTGTTCCTTGATTGTGTAAGGCAACATTACCCTTTTGTCTGTTAAAACAAATTCATGTGAGATTTTTAGTACAAAGAATTTACAAAAATTTAAAAACACAAGTCAGTATTTCTCCTCACTTTGAGCACCTTTCCCTAGCTTTAAATATCAATATTCTAACTGGTATCCAATAGCCTTGTTGTCCATTATATAAACAAGTTTAACTAACTAAGGCTAGACTGTAGAATACCCGTACATTCAAACAGCCTTCTCATGTACTGTACCCGCAGTCTCCAGTCGAAGACTTCGGGGTCGATATATAACATACGGGCCAGCGGTTAGATATCTCTATTCTTCACACAGGAATCCCACAATATACAATTTAAAATCACCTTATACAATAAACGTACCCGCGGTCACCATGAATATAACTCGTTCTTAAATGACTGGCGACCCCGGGTACACCAAAAATCATGCCTATATATGTGGACGGGTATTCTATAGTCGCTCCCTAACTAATTTTTATCATATCAAATAACAATAAAAGAGTTTTTTGACCTGATATTTGAATGATTCCTCCAAATAACAGTCCTTCGCTCCTTTCCTGATCCAATAGACACACTCGCCAAGGAGCTGGGAGGATATCTATGCACCAAGAAGTGCGTGAGATATCTGTATCGAGAATTTAGAGGAGGAAGAACAAAAACCTTATTCAAACCGACAGCAGCTGCACTACTCCTCAAAAACACTTCAATCTCCTCTTCTAAGTGCTCTAAAAATATGATTTCTTTCAGAGAAAGAAATCCTGCCAGTTTCTAGAAAATAAAAAGTATAATATTACAAAAAAATAAAAATGATAAAGTATGATCGTGTTCTGTATAATTAAACTGACCTTAGAGTCTTTTTTCAAAGCGCTGTGGCTTCATACCAATTCATGATTGTATCGAAAAAAGTGGAGTTCATTTTGTACAGCTGACGGCCATTTTGTTTTGACTTGCAGCTTAGGCCCCAGGCTTTTGTCCTATAAAACACAGGGAGTCCACATAACAATTCTAACAACACCAACACCTCGTTCGAAGGTTTGAGTTTGCAATCACACAAAAGAATTGAAAATGCTTCAAAATGAGGCGCATCGGAAAATAGATAATTCTTTGTTCGCTTTTAATTATTTTCAGCATTGTCATCGGATGCAAAAAATCATGTCGCCAAATTGCTGGTATATATTATGACTGGAAAAAAATGCTGAACTACGTATGAATCTGGAAAAATGTTGGATGTTGACCTCAAAAGAGCTCACAAATGTATGACAATGTACGCTCATTTGCCATGAAAAAGCAAGTTTACACATGTGCAAGGAAAGAAATACAACAACCTTAGCTAACTCTTTCTTTTATTGCTAAAAATGTCTGAACAGCTTGTTTGCTAGGGTAATACATGAAAATTATATTCAATTAACACTAAAAGATCATATCTGATGTTAATACTGCATGAACACTGTCTCCTGAGGCACAACTTAAGCACTACTTTGTAAGCTTGTCTCTAAAATTCTRGCTGTTAAAATGAATGACTCAAACTTGTGCAAATTGGCTCCCTTTTGTTTAACAGTCTGATTTATGCCTTTAAATCAACATCWAATGAAGATTGATAATGTAAAACRTATTTTAAKCTACTTGCTGTAAAGGAAATTATTTAGTATTGTACTATTAATTCATTATAAAACTACATGTCCATGCAATAAAACTGCTTTTTGATGAATGTTCACTTTCTCCACAACAAATTTTTAGGAGAGTTTCAACTTTGAACATTAATATTGCGCTTTTCATGTCTCCCTTTAGCTGCATAAAGGATGGGTTGCTAACTCCAATATCATTGGAATACACAAACTAAATGTGTGCAACACATTACTAGCACTATTCACTGTTAAATAGAGTCAACTGAATAGAAAACAATACAGTTAGCAGTATAATTTACCAATATTTTTGTTGCACACTTTTAGTGTTTGTATTCAACTAGCAGGAAGAAAACATAATTCCGTACTAAATAAAAATGGAGTTTTAAGTCAGCTTTAGGTGAAATACCAAGACAAAATTAATATGCCTTGGACACTGCAAATGGCATCCAAACTTTGATAAGTTACAGCTTCATTCAGTGTAGTATGAAAACACTTTGCACATAATAATATCATGTATAATATATAATAGATTTACATAGAAATAAACAACCACTATCAAAAGAGTATTATCTTTTACACTTTGATGTTAGTTTAAATAATAAATTCTACATCTTACACACTAGTATAATAGTGTTTTTAATCCTTCAATGTACAGTATGTACTCTGATGGAAAAGTGTTTAAATATCAGCGTAATGGTGACATACATGGCTAGTTTGACAGCAATGTTCTTTGTACAGGCTGGGGTTGAGGACTTACAACCTATAACAAAACAGAGGTTTTTTCACTTCATATGTTTACAACACAATGTTTAAAACATTAATGATCTTGTCATTTGAAAATATGTAATAATTTGTGATTGGAAAAGAAATACCAGTCAATTTTAATTGACATGTACAATTCTATTATCTAGACATATATTTTCAAATCAGTATTCAACAATCTTTCATGTCTACTCTGGCATTACTCATCC